AGAAATATAATGCTTTGTCAGAGATGACCAAATCAATTAGATAAAGTGATGCAGAGACAGGGCTGGGACTGGGCCCTTGCTTGGGGCATTTGCCCACCCTCTCCCATTACACTGTAAATTCTGACAGACAAGATAGGCTTTCTCAGGCATGGAGACTTTGACTCTGCTATTAGTAATCAGGCAGCATGAAGTAGTGTATATTTTAGAAATATGCTCTTGCTTTTTAAAAAGAACATTCATGTTTTATCACTGCATCATGTATAATGCAACATGAATAAAGCCTTACTGAGTTCCACATGCGTGAGGAAACTAGCATTACTGTAGATTAGTGCAAGCGCTGAGAAATGACCCTATTATCTCTGGAATGGTAATATTGTGCCTCACAGGGGAACTTGTGTCATTAAGAGTGAGCCGCTCTCTTGCAGATGCTTTCTACTGAGTTATTAATATATGGAAGCAGAAGGAACAGGAAAGTTCTTTCTAGGGATTTGGGAATATAATTTAAAGTTTTCAGTGCAGTGTTCGCCTTTACCAGAAACATCACGTAAATCTGGTTTTACGTGTGCTTGTAGATGTGCGCGCGCGCACACACACACACATGCACACACTCTTCACACCTCCATTTCTTTGTGCAGACCTTTCTTTCTACTTGGAATACCTTTTTTATTTTCTGTTTATCTCTAAGCCCTCTGTTAGTTGTGCCCTCCTTGGTGGTGAAGCCTCCTCAACCCTTTTTAGCCAGGTTGTTACTTCCCTCTGTACTCCTAGAGCAGTTTGTCCCCATGGCTAGATCATGATTTTGTTTGCTGATTGTCTCTTGCCATCTTTGTAAGTCCCACTTGAGTGTGTGCTTATCAACATTAGGGACTGCCTCTTTCAATTTCACATTCTAGCATCTTGAATGATGTCTGCATATATATGTTGGTTATGCAATAACTATTAAGTGAATGAGTGTGTATAATAGTATATACAGTAAAACCTTGGATTGCAAATAACTTGGTTTGCAAGTGTTCCGCAAGACGAGCAAACATTTCTAATACATTTTAACTTGGTAAATGAGCGATGTCTTGCAATATGAGTAGTATGTTTCTGGAATGAATTATGCTTGCAAACCCAAGATATTACTGTATATGTTTCTATACTCTGGCTTATTTTAAAAATGTGTTTGACATGATGTAAGCAATACAGCAAATAAGTAGAAAATTAGAAGGCGAAAAGGAGGAGGATGGGAAATAAAAGGAGACCAAGCATAAACTAATAATATATGTTATGAGTCTGTAAGTATATATGTAATATGAATACAAGTGCACTTCAAATCACAGAGGAAGCATATATTGGAATGTACAATATACACTAAAAACTATCTTGTCTGGTATTTGAGCCAAAAAATGCATCTTTTTTGTTTTGGCCTTGGAAAGATTTCTTATTTTTCAAGTTACATTTTTGTCAACATATATTTGATGCTGAAGGGTTTCTCTGTGGACTGCTTGCTCATTAGTGCATAGATTAGAATGTAATCAGCATGTGGTAAAGTGTAGTGGTCAGTTAATTCCATTGCTATGGAAACAGTAATCTGTAATATGACTGTATAAGCAGCTCTTCAGCTCCGGAAATGTCCTCTCTAACGCCTCTTATCTGCTCTCTTTCAAAAAGCACATAGCCATGAGGTAGGAATTCAAGAATGCTGATTTAAAATAATAACCTTCTCTTGGAATAAATTTCTTTCAAATTAATGTAAATAAAAAGTACCCATGGATTACAGCTTTCTCTCTAGGTAAAAGTTTAAGTAAGGGAACATATTAAAATTGTATTCTTATTCTCCTCTCAGGATTAAATTTATGCAAATCTTAGATTTTTGGTGTTGTTTTTCATATAAGACTCTTCCTGAATCTAATTCTCTGCATGATTTTTTAAATTTTTTATGGAGAATTAAGCTTTTTTTGTTATGTTGTTCCTTAATTGTTAAAGTAATGAGGTTTTACTGTTCTGGGTAATTTAATACAATGAAGCAGCTAGTCACTGACTGGCAACCTTTCAAAGGAGGTGGGCCAAGGTGCCAACCTATTTCTCTTGATGTGCCAACCCATAGAGTTTTGTGTTCCAGGCATTTGCTAATCACCAGCTGGTAACTGATTTACAAGGCGGGAAAGACAGGACTCTTGAATGGTGGCCACTGACTCACCAGCAAGACAAAGTGTGTACTGGCTTCCAGCCTTGTCTATTGGCATGAAGATCTTGCTGCCAGGGAAAGACTTGATCATGGCAAAGAACCTATGTGCCATGTTTGCCAGATGTCATCAGTATTGTTCTTGACACTCACTTTGGTTTAGCAACTGAGAAAGAACTGCTAGTTCACCACCTCCTTGGTGGTGAAGGCTCCTCGATCCTTTTGGCCAGGTTGTTGCTTCCCTCTGTATTCTACTCCAGTTGAATATGCCTGTCTTCCTGTTTGTTCCTTCATCCATCCATCCATCCATCCATCCATCCACCCATCCACCCATCCACCTACCCATCCATATATCCATATATCCATCAGCCTGTCTATTCATCTGACACTGTATTTAAGCCATCAATAAATGAGCTGGAATTAACCTCTCACAGCATTGTTTAGAATTAAGGTTGGCAAACTTTTTCTGTAAAGGGACAGATTGTACTTATTCTAGCTGTGCAGGCCATGCTGTCTCTTGCAGCTATTCAGCTCGGCTGTTGTAGGGCCAAAACAGCTTTAGACGATTTGTAAATGAATGGATGTGGCTGTGTCCCAGTAAAGCATTGTTTATAAAAAATTACATGTGCAGGATTCTCACCCCTGGTTTAGACAGTGGAAATGTATCACAACATAGTTGTGTGCTACACAAAAACTTTAAAAAAAATGATTTTAATGCTTGTAAATTTTCTAACACAGCAAATCTCTCAGGGTTGTTAATTTAATTGTCATCTGCTTTGAGGTTTACCCACAAAAATAGTTTTATAGATTAACCATTTTATTTATTTTATTGAAGCATATTGATGATTTAAAATAATATTTGTCTCTCTGTATGGCACCGGTTATAGAAATGTCATTGGATTGGAAATATACAAAAATACAAGGAATACAATTTTCTACCACATTACTGATAACAGCACCATTAAATATAATAATATTTACTAATAAATATGATTTAAAAACTATTTTTCACATGAAAACTTGGACTAGATATGTTGCTAAGTGGGGGAAAAAGGAGGCTGTAGAACACTTCTTAACAGTGTGTACAATGTAATTCTATTTGTGAAAATAAAAATTACATGTCTGTGCATATGCATATTTGTATATTGTAAATATCTGAAAAGCTACTGTATCAATCAGGTTCTTGATTTTCAAGCAGATGAGATCAAGCCTGTCTAATATAAGCAGAAAAGATTTATTGAAGGGTAATAAATGGGTCAGAGATCTCTGGGGGTGCCTAAGAAGCTGGCTTAGAGGCTGTATATCTAGAAGTGGTGCCCAAAATTCCACTGCATAATTGGTTCTGCAAAGATTTCCCTGGAGCTCACTGGGCATGAAACTGCAGTGTGAAGCACTGATACACTGAGCCTGGATGCCGGATCTGCCTCCACTGTTACCAGTACTCTGGAATAGATTCTGGACATTTGCTGCTCTTTTATGTCATCAGCTTCCAGTTCAGTCTTGCATGTGTGCATGTGATTGGCAGAGCCCATGTTTTGTGCCCTAGCTGCAAGGGAAACTGCACAAATGAATTTGTGGACATCACTTTTGTCATGGACAAAGGGCCTTAACTCATAAGGTGGGGCATTTCCTAAATGTAGGAAGAGGATTAAGAAACCTGGATACCAGAAAGAATGAGAGCTGCCCACTGCAGACACCCAGGAAATTGTTAGCATTGATTACTGCTGGCCAATGGAATTGGAAGGGCTGACCGGGGAGCAGATAGAACCTTTTATTGTACCCTTCTGTGCTCTTTGAATTGAAAAAAAAAAAATGTGTGTATATATACATACATATATATGCACATAGACACACACACGCGCACACACACACAAACACCAATGATAAAAAGACCGACCATGTGGAAAATGAACAAAGGGAACAGCATTTTTTCCCCCACCAGTTCCACTCTAATGCTCTCATATAAGAATTCAAGAAGGCTTCCCAGCATAACAGGGCAATTCCATCAACTTTGTACTCAATCTCATTTAAAAATTCGCCTTATGATTTCCTTTCAAAATCCAGTCAACTCCTTATTGCTTGTACTTAGTTGGGCAGAGAAATCATGAAATGATTTCTCTGGGATACCATTGGCATTTTCTCCCTTTTGGCCTGGTGGAGCTTATTTAGTTTATCTCTTTGAGTTCTGCAGGATTCAGCTTTGAAAATTCAGGTTTTATCAGCTGTTGTGGTTGACAAAGTATGCATAAATGCAGAGTCCAAAAATATACTTAAATATTTGACCCTACTATCCCTCTCACCCTGAAAACCCTCATAAATTTGTTCCTTGATAGAAAACTTGTCTGGGAACTTAATTCAGTCCAATAAAGTTTTAACAGATGTATTAAATTTTTAAAACTTTGTTATTTAGAATAATTTTAGATTTACAGAAAAAGTGTGCAGATAGTACAGAGAGTTCCTATATCCTCCACAGCAGCTTCCCCTGTTATGAACATCTTATTAGTCTGGTACATTTGTTGCAGTTAATGAATAAATATTGATACATTATTATTGACTAAAGCCCATATTTTATTGTCTTAGTTTTTACTTGTACTTTTTTACTTTTTCTGTTCCATGATAGCTGATATATTTTATACACTTATGTTGTACTTTGTCTTCTGTATAGTAGTCAGTAAGCTGTATAACAAATGCTATTTCTGTTATAAATAACTTGAAATTTAGGGGAAGAATAAATAAAGCTTTGCCACAATGAGGTTACTGTAGTCTTTTATGCACAAATGTCACATGAGAGAAAATAATTAACCTTTCATTTTCCCTCCTGTTTTGTATTCAGTGGAACAGGTTCCTGTAGAACCGTACAATATCCCCCTGTCCCAGGCGGAGGTCATAGAGGAAGGGAGTGATGTTACTCTAGTTGCCTGGGGTACTCAGGTCAGTAACATTATCCCAACTGGTAATGTTCATGTTGTCCTTGGAAGCTCTTATTTTTAATCCTGATACTATGAAGAATGAAAAATGATGTTTTACTTATATCAAATTTACTTCCTTATATCAAAGTCTTGTTTGGGACTACATCTATAGCTGGTTCTGATTTTTGCCTTTTCAGTCATAAAAATATGTATGCATATGGTGAAGCCATTAAGAATATGTTGTTGACAAAAATGTATTCATTAAAAACAGTTTATTTTGAAGCACATTTTACATATCCTCACTACTTGTTGCCGCACTTGACTTGGTATTTTCTTCTTCATCTCATCTGCTGCCATCTCTTGTGATTACTTTGCTGACCATGTGGACCATCCAGTGATCCAGCCTCGGAATCCCATACCTTTCTCTTTTCCAGTAAACCTCACTGCTGATCTGCTTCCGCTTTCCCCAGGGCTGCTCGTCACAGTGCTTCACCTCCAGGCATTTAAGCTCAGGACGCTTTCTCTGGCCATAGACTGCTCTCTCTTACACTCCTTTCTCTTCTTTTAAAGAAGTAGTCAGTCATTTTTCTCCCTGTGTAGAGAAAATACTTGCTTATTTAAGAAAATTGAATATGGTATAGTATAAAGAAGATAATTTAAATCATTTGCAATAGCACAACCTCCTCCTCTCTGCTCCACGTGATTTTCTTCGTAATTTTCGGCTTGGAGAGCTACAGTCCTTGTGGTTTCTCATCTCCAGTGGGGAAACCATTTTATTCACATCTCTTTCACAGCATGTGTCTTTGCCTCTCTTTTTAAAAGGGAAGTTAGAGTGTATTAGGTGCTAAATTCCATTACTTGTTTTTCCTTTACACCTATCACTTTTTCCAAGTCATTTCCTCTTTTCCTTGTCTTTAAAGGAGAGGTGTCTGGTTATCACAGCTACCTCTCCAAATCTATTTCAGATTGTGTTCCATTTACTTTCTCCAGGACTGTGATAAATCAATTAGTCCCTGTCTCTCCTGCATCTTCAGTTTCTTCTATCCATTTCCTTTTTATTAAAAAGGTATGTGTCCCTTTTCCACCCTATTTTTCTCTTAAATAGCAAGTATATCTCCCTCCTTTCTTTTATCACTAAACTTGAACGATTCCTACCACCAGTATTTAATTCCTTAACTTCCTTAGGATATTGTACCATATAAGTTCTAATTTCCACTAATTCACACAAATTATTTCCGCTAATATCACTAACCTTCTGATTGTTAAATCCAACCCTATCCCATATAGCTATAGTATATGACACTGGTTACTCTCTTTATAAAATTCTTTCTTCTTTAGTTTCTGGAATATACTGTCTCTTGATTTTCTTTTTTTTTAAACTATTCTTTTCCCTCCCTCCTTCCTTCCCTCCCTTCCTTCCTTTTTTTGTTTCTAGTGAGATCTTCATCTGGTTTCCTCTTCAGTGTTGGTCATCTACAGGGTCCCATGATTTCTGCCCTGTACTTTTCCCCTCTACATGCTTTCCCTAGAAACTCCGCCTACTCCTGTGACTTGATTTACCTCTGTGTGCTGATATCTTTGGAATCAGTATGACTGCCCTCACTTTTTTTAAGAGCCTCCTTCCAACTGTTTTCTAGACATCTATATTTGACTATTTTGGTGGAATACGGGGTTCAACATATCTAAAACAAATTTATTAATTCTCTGTGGAGATCAATTCCTCTGACTTTAAATACTACCTCTATTAATGATGTCAGAATTTAACTAATGTTTTAGACCTGTGTCTCTGTAGTCATTCTCTGCATATCTTTCTCCTTATTTCAGGTTCATGTGATCCGAGAAGTGGCTTCCATGGCTAAAGAAAAGCTTGGAGTGTCTTGTGAAGTCATTGATCTGAGGACTATACTACCTTGGGATGTGGAAACAGTTTGCAAGGTGTGGCTATAGTATTGATAGAGTGTCATTTCATTAAAATCTTGCGTGAAATTTGTTGGATATTTGCAAAAAATTGTTTTGAAATTTTGAACATTGTGAGCATTTTCTACTGATTTAAAAAATTTTAATTTATACTATGAAAGAAATGTATGCTCTATAATAAGCTTAATGCTCAAGAAAACAAATTGCTTTAGGTTTTTGTCTTCCCATAGTTCTTTATGGTTAGTATATTATAAAACTGTGTCCTTCACATGGCCAGCTTGGGTTGAGTTGTATGAGTAATGGAGTGGTGCAAATAAACACAAGGAGGTCATCTGTGTTTTTAACTTCTGATTTGTTATGGTTTGATAAGCTAGGTTTAATATAGTCCCATAAATGGTTTGGCTGAATTTTCGTTTGTTCTTCTCCAAAAGAGATGGATTATATATTTTTTAAAAAACCAAAAACCAAAAACAACAATTTTCTATAGCCTTCATACTGTGGATCATAGTTTGAATATTATGTTGTGGGATTCTAGCTGCTCTGATTTATAGTTTTCTAGGTTTCCTATTAACTTTGCCCTGATTAGATTGATCTTTTTCCTTACTATTAATAGGATTCACATAGTCCCCTCTCAAGAATATAGTTTAGTTCTCATTTACTGGGCTATAACCGATATCTTTCATATTAATGTCTAGATAAAGTGCATCTACTTTCATATTGGTTTATAAGTAAGGTTAAGCGTTTTTTTCCTTTGGTGATTTTTTTATCTACTAAAGTTTAGGCAACATTGCATCTTTATTTTTTCCTTGATTTATTGCTATAGCAAATGAGCCCTAAGACCTTAGGGTATTTTACATTTATTATTTTTAAGAGCTTTGGCATTCTCATAGCTTTAACAGGTTGTCTCTTAGCTTAGCTGCAGTTATTACTGCTGTAAAACTATAGCAGCATGTTTTTAGGTGAAGATTGTCTTATAATTTAGTGGAAGATTTAAGATTTTTATAGTAAATGTTCTATAGACTTATCTGACACCATCTAAACATTTGACATGGTTACAAATGGTTTCAGCAGTATTCTTAGTCCTTGTAGTTTCTGTAATTAAGAGCAGTATTTTAGGGTCATTTATTCCTAACTACATGAAAATAATTGTTTTTGCAGGCATTTTCAAATAAAGGCAGACACTGGGTTTCTTTCAAATAGCCAAATATCCCAACTTATGGTTAAAGTGGAATTGATAGCCTTTGTCCAAGAGCAGACTTCTTGTTTGCAACACGCTTCCCCCATTCATCTTGGAGTTTATAATGTGACTGGTACTATACTGCATGGAGATACGATGTTTTGTCATGGTGAGTGGGGCGTACTGATATAGGGTCAGGACAAATATTTTTAGAACCTTATTTACATATTTATGTACTTTATAAATACATCCACAGAGAATTTGTAGTAGCTTATGGTAAAGCACAAATACAGTAACACTTCAAGTTGATAACTGTGAATGCTAAGTGAGAAGAGGTGGAGGAAGAAAAAAGGAGAAAATTATTTATATTTGTATCTATATAAATTTGCTTTTATGGAGCCCCTTCCCCCTTTATTAAAGCTACTGGTTGCATCTTTGTATGATCCTGGAATCTAGATTCTGTTTCCATAGGGCTCTATACTACTGGAAAACATGAAAGAAGAGAGAGAGTAAGAGACCTCTACTGACAGAAAGTGATGCTGCAGATCTCTGGCTTGTTAGCATCATTAGTTTAGTTTTGCATTGGGATGCTTTTATCATGTCATTTTCCTGGTTGCTGACCCTCCAGTTATGACAGTGAAATGCCAGCTAATCATTTCTTGATTACGTTGGGTCTATTTGTGACCCTCTTCATTGCTGAACATGGCATATCTTCTGTTTTCTTTCATGTATCAAAAGAGTACAGTTTTGGATACTTAACATCTTTTCTAGAATTTAGAGATGATTTTAAAGAAGAGAGCCCTACAGCCAAACACTCATATTAAAAATGAGATATTTTTTGTTTAACTATAGCTAATCTTTTATTCTTCATTTTTATGAATTCTGTAGTAATCAAAACTTGTTTATTATCTTTTTCAGTTAGTGCTGTGTTTTATCGGCTGTTTTTTTTGTCTTATGACAAAATTATGTCTCTCAGCTCTATTCATATATTAAATTCAACACCAAAATGCATCTTTTAGAATATCTAATCAAGAAAAGCTTATTGAAGGTAAAAATGATTTATTGAGCATATACATACTATGCATAGTAAAATGATTCTAGGACAGTTGAGGAATTGGTTAATGTAATCTGAGTTTAACAATGTTTTTAGAACATAGTCGTACTGGGGCTGGCCGAGTGGCTCAGTTGGTTAAGAGCTCGCTCAAGAGTGCGAGCTCTGAGCAACAGGGTGCCGGTTTGATTCCTGGCCCGAGCTGAGCTGCCACTGAGCTGCCAACAGGTGGCAGGATGGCTCAGCTAAAACAAACAAACAAATAAAAAACATAGTCATACTTTTTGCTTTGAAGCACTGTTTGGAAGTTAAAAGCCTCTGACAGAGAAAGCAGCTCTTTTTTTAAAAAATTTTATTGGGGAACAGTGTGTTTTTCCAGGACCCATCAGCTCCAAGTCAAGTAGTTGTTTCAACCTAGTTGTGGAGGGTGCAGCTCACTGGCCCATGTGGGGATTGAACTGGCAACCTTGGTGTTATGAGCCTGCGCTCTAACCAACTGAGCTAACTGGCCGCATCCCCCCCCCTTTTTTTTAATTGCTGCTCAGGGAAGTTACAGAATTGGAGACCTGAGTGGCCCTAAAAAACTAGTTTGTTTCAATTCTGAACCTGAGATTAGAGTTCTGGAAGCCTCTGAATACCAGAATAGAAATTCTTATGTTTTGAGATGCTTAGGAGACAGAGACCTACCTAGGGGTCTAGGGTTGTGGGTGGAGTGCAGTGGCTTAGGAACATCAGAAATGAGAATTGAAAGCCCTGAGATGAGTGGTTATTTGACACTGATGATCTGGGGCTGCTTTTTGCTTGGGGGTGGGAGGCTGCCAATTTAGTTTCAACTAGAAGCTGAGAACCCATAGTGTATAGAACCCATGTTCCACGGGCTGTATTGGAAATTTGAGAGATCTTAAACACATAATCGGTCTCCCTTTTAAGATATTTGCCAAATTCTTAATCTGTGTATGGTGGGAGCTAAGCAGAAAATGCCTGACAAGCTAAGCCATCACTTGAAGCAGAAGTGAAAAAGCTTTCAATACTCTCAATTGAAAGCTATGGAGCCAGTCAGGCCTTATGATTCGAGGCAAACCAGAAGTAGATCAAATCTTCCCAAACCCGCAATATAGCCTCTATCCCTTACATTTCCTTTTGAATTAATGTAACTTACCTTCTGCTCTATCTGTCCAACAGAACAAGGAGTCATTCCTTCCATCATCTGGAATCTCTATGAACTAACAGTCAATAAAACATTACCAAGTACATGAAGAGGCAGGATCATTTGATCAAAAACCAAGAGAAAACATAAGTAATAGAAAGCAGAAACACAGGTGATCCAGATATTGGCGTTAGCAGACAAAGACTTTGTGATTATTATATTTAGGAACATAGATAAAAAAGGAATAAAAGAGGTAAGAAAGTGAATTGCCTTAGAGAATTGGTGTGTGTGTTTGTATCAAATAAACATTGTAGAACCAAAAAAATATTTGACAATAAGAACTCAATGGATGTGTTTATAAACATATTGGACTCAATACATGATAGTACTTATGAACTAGAAGGCAAGTTTACAGAAAATGTCCAAACTGAAGCACAGAGAAAAAAACAAGCAAAAAAAAGACTAAAACAGACAAGGGCATCTGGTCAAAAGACCTGTCCTATACAGAATCTGATTGTTAGAAGGAGAAGAGAGAATGAATTGGTCAGAAACAACATCTAAATTTTTTTTCCTCGTGAACGTTTTGAAACACCCATCCATGTATTTAAGAGGCTTTGTGAACCTCTAAGAAGGATATGTCCAAAGAAAACAACACCCATGTACACAATGGAATGACATCTTAAATTGCTGAATATGTCAACCTAGAATTCTATATGCAATGAAAATATCTTTTAAAATTAAGCTAAAATAAAAAATAGTTTAGGCAGCAGAAGTTGAAAGAATGGATGACCAGCAAGCTTTCACTAAAAATGAATTTACCAACAAGGTCCCTGGAAACAAGGTCAATATATAATAATTTATTATATTTTTATATACCATCAAGAAACATAGAAAATGAATGTAAGAAATTGATAACATTTGAAAAAGCATCAACAAATCAAATATCTAGGGAAAAAATTGCATGTATAAGAACTTAGTGCAGAAAATCACAGAATACTATTCAGAGAAATTAAAGAAGATCCAAAGTAACTGAAGCACATATCATGTTAATGGATTGTATGGCCATTTTGAAGAATAAAGCTGGAGGACTTAATTACCAAATGTCAAGATCTATTATAAGGCTATAGTAATTACAACATTGTATTGGTGTCAAGATAGAAAAATAGACCAATGGAACGGAATGAGGAGTCCAGAAACAGACTGTTGGTCATCTGATTCAGGACAAAGGTTAACACTGCAGTTCAGAGAGGAAAAGGTGGTCATTTCAATAAATGGTTTAGTTGGGTACCATAGAAAGTGTCACACAAATGTCAATTCCAGCTGTCAAAGGAAAAAATGACAAGCTCTTGGGAAAAGCACAGGTGAATATCTCTATGATCTTGAGCCATCAAAGATTTTAAAAATAGAACAAAACAAAACCCTGGAAACACATTTTAAAAAGGCTGATAAAATTGGGCTTCATTAAAATTTTAAAAAAATTATTCAAGAAGTCCCAATAGAGTAAATAGACAATCCACAGACTTGGGGGGGAAACTCATCAAAATTTATATTCAGAAATATAAAATGCAATTAAAGAAATAGACACCCCAATAGAATTTATGGGCAGAAGTCTTGAAAAGACACTTCACAAAGGAAGATATCCA